AAAAAGGAACGCATGTAGTCGCGTGGTCCGGTTTGGGACCCGACGCGGCAGCCCTGGAATGTGACCCAGACCTCGATGGACTTGATGTGACTCATTCGAACGCACTTTTTTTAAACAACAGTTTATCGGGTGTACAACGGGTCGCGTCTTTAGAAAGTCCACTAAAATCCGACGTGGGTGCATAGGTAAACAGGATTACACACGCCTACACGCTTTTTTAGTCATACGACATCCCACATCTCCGTTTCATTTGAATTTATTCACGGTTGTTATATTTTGATCCGTCAATCATACGGCTGTTATTCAAAAATATGATTCGAACGCCAACTGAAATGTAAATTTTCCATCCTTCAATGCATTTAAATTACACAACAAAAATCTTGAACGAGGTCAAGGGGATTATTGCAAAGATGCAGAATTTAATAGTATTAACTATTTGTTAAAATAATTTATTATGAAAATATATTCTACCACTGAGGACTAAAACAATACAGTTAATAAAGGACTCGTGTGTGTTTTGAATTAATACAAAGGCGTGACTGAGGCTGTTATCTCAAAGCTTTGAGGGATGAGTAGGACAGCGAGCTGCGAACTTGCTAAGAAGATTAACGATAGACCGAGAGTTGGCTCCGCGGGATTTATCAGCCGGTGTTGCGGCTACCGAATTTATGCGCAACGCCTAGAGACGGATTAACCCAGTATAACCAACGCATTTATCTTATCGAAGGAAATGCATTTGAGACTGCAGGGATAGAAATAATTCATGACGAAGAAAATGAATTAATGCAATTCTTGTATTGACACATAGGGAGTTAAATTGGTTCATTGCTTCAGTTTAATCCAAATAAACGACACATACAAAGTAGGTAATAATATTTTAGGGAAAAAATGTAACAAAATAACTTCATAGTTTTCTTCATCCAATCGATCTACACAACTGTTGTTAAAGTCAATTCCAAACGTGAGTTTGATGTGAGTGTCACGTTTCGCGCATTTTTCCCTAAATGCCGGTCTATGTAATAGCTGTCTAAACACGCACATTTGTCCCTCGGGGAACACGGACGCCCACACAAATTCAGCCTGGCTATCTGTGGAACTATGGCCCTTCCGTCACTGTACAAAGCTCGATAGTCCAGACATAAACACTTGGAATGTTGACCGTCTGGGGAGCCAAACGATGTTCATATAAGACATCCCTATCTTTATTTATTGACGCCACTATAGATCGACAATATGAATGTTTCCTCTATTTACTCATACGGCTATGACATACTTGAGATATGTGACAGGAATCGGTTTATTTGACATTTTCTGTCTGATCTAATGAAATATTCATAGTCCTGTCGAGGACCTCCATTTATATTCTCCGGAAATTCATGAAGTACTTAGATAATATTTACTTCATTTCTAGATAGTGACTCTCAAGGAATATGTTAGCAACATCCTTTCGGTTAGAAAAAGTGTTTAAAATATAGGTATACGCTGCGTAGAGTTCAAAGAATCCGTCACATTATTTTAAGATATATGAGCTATTGTTTGCTGACAATGCATCAAGAAACGTGAGGGCTGAGAGCCCGTTTTTATGCAACAAGTTGAGCACGTGCGGGCCTTGGCTATAGGGTAGAATGAATAGTTGCCGAACAGTGTTGTCCCGGAAAATACTACGCGCTGCCCATTAGTTAGGGGGAATGTATTACTGCCGGTACCAGTATGCTAATAAGTTAGCTTCATCGACAACACGCTGTGTTTGGGTGAAAGTCGCCTTAGAGACTATGTAACATTGATAATATATTAAATAACCGATTATATCACAGTATTTGTTTACAAAAATTTTACAAGTCCTACCGAGAAAAATTTCGAGAATCTACAATAATTTATCACAATATGGAGAAGAGCTAAAAAAATTATTATAGGTATTTTTATTGGATACAAATAACATTGTTATTAAATATTAATTCATAATAATTGCTATTATTATACGATACGGCATTCTATGACCCTCAATACTCCAACATTCCATAAAGCACTTCAACATACCACTTTTTTTAAAACGATAATAACTTAAAATCATATAAACACAAATTCCAACACGAAAAGGCTTGTTTTATTCACTTTAACACTTTTCTCACTGTATACATGCACTTTTTAAATTCGCGGTTACAGAACGGAACACGAAAGCGCGCGACCGGTCAGGCAGTCGAAGTCGAGTAACTTTGTTGACAAGCGCTGAGCGCACAACCGCCCGCCATGTTTTATACCTTCGGCAATCTCCGGCGGCGCTCGGGTATCTTCGGGAGAGTACACTACCATCGTTACTCACTGATTCAACGAAGACTGGTTGTAAGGGCAAGCTAAAGTAAAGCTAAGCTTGTAAATGGTTAAGCTACTTCATTGTAGTATGTACTGAATTTTGTATTCTATAATGGGACTGACGTTTTTCTTTTAGGAAAAAGGCCCTTCTTATAAAATAAGATTTAAAAAAAACGAAGACCGGTTAAAGTGAACAAGTCCTCCTCTATTCAAACCTCTTTATGAGCGCATTGAATGTACTTACAAGACGTTTATTTTCTTTTAGTTTCAATACTCGCATTTATTATACTTAGATATAAACAATTGTTTATACAATAGCCCATTGAAGATTATTGCAAAATATTTCTGTAAAAAAGCCATGTTGCTCTACATTATGAGTAAAGTGAGTTCATAAACTGATAATTATTTTATTTTTTCAATATTGTGATCCTTTTGTATAGTGAGTCTACTTAGCATTTAAATCTATTTTTATTAAACAAAGTCATAAATTATAAAAGAGGTCAATTCGATTTTAAAATATCCGTTAGCAGAAATTAGCCATACATTAAAAATCACGAAATATAATATTTTTATACATTTCCACAGACTTAGCAGAACACTTATTAAGTACTTATATGAACTGTAGTAGTCGTAGATCAGAAGAAAATATGCATTCATGATAAAAAAATATTTATTCATAGACCCCTGCTACGTTTATGCTATGCCAAAAATCAGAGGTAGGGCTGTAACTATGTGTCTATGTGTAGTCTTGTTTTGTATTTCGTATTTGTAGGTTTCATGTTGTAGGTATATTACTGATATTTTTGAATTTTAATTACGCCACACCTCTTATCCTCTGGAGGGATAGGCAGAATTATTTAATGCGTCCCTTGTAATAGCGGATGCGCCATAAACCGCAATAGAGTAAATGACTCATTTGTATCTTGTACTTATCTATGTCCATCTAGTAGACTATTTAAAAACATTAAACACGTATTTTATTTTCTTACGGAAACAAATACTTTCGGCGATATATTGATTTGAAATATCGCGTGACGTCACTAAACTTTGAATCGTTTTATCTAAGTGTTGTTTTCTTATACGACAAAATAAAAAAATACGCGTCTAATATTTTTTCATTACCAAACTGGCGGTCTAATTAGATTTTTTATTTTGATACACTTTTCATCCCTATTCTCGTTTCCAAACCAAAAATGAAAATGAAAAAAATGTTAATATAATAATTTAGACATTATTATGTAATAGAAATATTTCCTTTATGTTATGGGTATCTAAGTGAGGAACAATGCGCTGTGTACACATACTTGTCCTTTATGAACCACATCTAACTATGCTATACCAACTGCATAATACATATAATTATATCTACTATTATAAGTTGCATCTTTCGTTACTCTATAATTTTAAAAGATAAAACAAAGAATAACAGATTTTGTTATAATACGGTAGTTGACAGGTAATCAAATTCAATACTTTTATTGAATTGTCAAAAACGATACTTTTATATGAATTTTGTATTGGATCGCAACTTGTGACATCAACATATTTCTGCGTCAAATAGCATACTTATTTTCTTAAATTTAGCGAGAAAAAATCTAAAAGTAGGTAATTTGTCAAATCAATGGATGAGAGTAGGATTATTTTTTTATTATTTATTGCATTGAAAAGTTGAAACGATTTATTTTAAACCTAGGAAACTAGCCAATTATACATTGCAGTAGTATAAATGAAGTTGTTAAAAAGTCCAGCAGTAAACTGTCACGAACTGTTCGAGTTGTTGAAGGAGTGTTGACAATGATTAATGTTGTTTAAAATATATACATATAATAACTGCATGTTATAAGCAGGGAAACTTTTCTTAAAATATTTATGAATGAATCATTTAAGCACTTCGTAAGTTAGTATCTTCTACGCAAGTTAGTTACGGTACGTAACGCTACGCAGCGCTACGCCAAACACGTGATCTTAGTTTTACTTAATTAATAAAAAGGGAATAAAAGCAGTATAAACTTATAGAAAAAAATACTCAAGGTTAGATATTTGAATATTTTTTTCAAGTTTCCGCATTCTCTGAGCCGCTCTCGAACCACTTTTGTTTTTGGCCAACGAGTCTGACCTCTAGTTCCGCTTTTGAATATGCGTAATGAGCATTTTGATAAAGGAGCATGTAGGTCTAATAAAGGTGGCAACATGGCGCGGCTCCTTTCTTGGGCAGTTTTTATTCGCCGCAGGGCACAAGCGAACATGAATAAATCACAACAAGGCTCGGCATTATGCGAGAGGCGATCGAGTCGGTCATGAACCTACTAAACTGGTTCTCGGTGGTATTGTTCTTACTACAAATCAAAGTAAAGACGATACAAACCTACACACATTTCTATAAATTCATTCGATTTTGATATAGATAGAAAATATAGAGATGTAATGATGTAACTAATCTAAACTCTTTTATGTAGAAATTGGTTGTAGAGTTAAAAATTAAACTTTTGTCAAAACTGTAACATTAAAGTTACTTTTTTGACTATATAAAAAATAAATTAGCCTTAAAAACTATGCTAGTATTCTGTGACTAAGCGTAAAAATTGTAAAATTGTTACTGTACTTGAAGTAGTGCTGTTACTGCCATCTGGCGTCAAGTAGCAGAACTACAGTAACTTTATGTTACTGTAGATGGCGCTACCAGTACTTACGGGTACAGTGACTGTTGTGTATAACTTACCTGAAACAAAAAAATATGACGTTAATACGGACTCATGTTAGAGTAAAATGATTCATTACAAACGTTAACAAACAGTGTAATATAAATACATATGTATTAAATGAAATTAACACATTTTCAACAAGATTGCTTACATGTCGGGGAAAGATTTATTACTTTGCAGTTCTGCAATATAATTACGTAGACAGTTAATAGGAAAATTGTTATGTAGATTAAAATAAGTGGTTGGTACTTGGTACATATCGGTTGGCTGGTGTTGCAAAATATGTACTAATTTACATAGAAACTATCATTTCCTGCGTACGGCATACTTTTCACATGCGATAACAGTAGAGTGCCATGATTGTGCCAGCTTATTCCGCGCTACATTTTTTACCCGTCAATCATTACTTCTAATGAAATATGAACCGAATGCTACACGGAGTGCACAAATAGGCCAATTACGATCATTATTTCATGGCTTAATTATCCTTGAAGCATAGGATTTTATAACAACACCACACATGTGTAGTGTACACTAGACAGAAAATTGTATTATTAGATCTATTTAACGAATCATAATAACAACAATCTTTTTCCTCTTACAATTTAATTTTATTACCTAAACCAAACTATCTACTTGCATATCGGTGTAGGACGAAATATTCGTAACTAAAACTCAACTCCTTTATGAATGACATTTGACAAACGTTGTTATATCAAAAACTAGCGGCTTGCCAAGAAGGCGGTATTAATAGAACTGTAGAGTGCAATGCACGGGACAAATCAAAACATTCTGACCAGCGGCGAACTTGTGTATTACTCACAGCAAGAATTAAATACTTCCTTCACACATTTGTGACAGAATAGTTGCATGTAACTCTATGTATGTCACTTTTTTATCAATAGTCAGTTGTAAAGGTAAATGGAAACGAGAACAGACTAGTAAAGTACCAATGAACAATAGACTAACATACTTGTGGCACTGTTAATTCGCACTATTGCTTGCATGTAAATAGGTCAAGAAAAATCTTATTACCTACTTTGAATCTTACGATGCAACATTACACCTACGCGCAGTTAGTGCTAAACAGGCAATTTCAGCGCGCAAACTTCAATGTTATGATAATGACATCGATAAGTATGATAATTATGATATTTTGATGAGCTCACGAGTGATCTCATGCGCGTCTGTACTAAACGAACGCGGTTGAGCGAAACGAACGTTTTAATTGTCACAATTTACTTTATAATTGAACGTGGCACGCTGAGCGAAGACGCGCCACTACCGAACCTTATCGTGATGCACCGTAATGAGATAAAGAATGTTCGTAACATTCTGAGAAAGTGAGCCTAAGCATTCGTGCTCAGCTGTTTGTGATGACAATTAGCACGTGCACCTTCGCTTCTAAACCTCGGACGTGTGTTGTGTATGACAAAGAGATTTCTGTGTGTTAGTTCTTGACTCACAAAGCTCCATCCCACTCAGCTTCCGTCCGTAATGGACGTGCCACAAAAACTAGCCCCGAGCCGAGACAAGATGTCGGAGATAATACAGGATTGACAATATCGATGTCGACGCACTCAGCGGATGCTAATAATTAACGAAATATCTTGATTCTACGTGACTTCATTCAGACAAGTAGTGGAGTCGCTTTTTGTCTGATGAAATATTACTTCGGTGGGAATTGGACACGATTTTCCTACGATAAAAGGTAGGCCACAGTGGCATAAATGTAAGTGCGATATAGATTATATCTTCTTGCGAGGCTACGTACTTTGAATATAATACATACAATAAGCATTCTTTGGTTACTTAAATTCCCAAGAACCAAATTATGATGAATTAGAAAGAGATAATGTTGGTTATTGTTTAAATATGGCCTTTTAAGCGACTTAAAAAATAATTCTCAACTCGATGGTATTTTTTTCAGCATCCATTCGTAAGCTCTGGGCAGGGCCCTTTGTTTATTTAACCTTGATATTATTATAATTAGGGGCGGAAGTCGTGACTGGTACTGTGAAGGGGTGTAGAGGCAGGAACACAGGAAGCGGATGTGCGGCGTTTGCGCGCGCGCAGGCACAGGTGCGGCGCCCGCGCAAGCCATGATTCAAGCTCTCAACTTAACTTCTAGCTTCAACTAAACGTTAACACGTGACATTTTCGTTTCAATAAGAACGTGCTTAGAATATAATGAAATCTATTCATTTAGTAAGTCTTAAAGCTTTGTAACAAAAGTAGAGAATTCCGTAGAGATCCGGTTACCATTACCATTCGAAGGAGTACCCACAATAGTTGGTGTTTTACAATTCATGAAGCTCGAAGCGTTATTATTACGTAATTATTAAATAAACTGAGGACGTTAAATACTTTACAAGTGGGTTGCATGAAAACGAAGCTTTCTTAGAATAACTTGAAATATTGATAGATAATTTATGGTTTAAAACAAACCGGCTGATTTAAAACAATCAGAAACAACGCACATCATACAAGATAAGATAAAATAACGCAAGGAAACATCAACCACATGGATGGACCGAGCAAGTCCATATCAAATAGTAATAAGACATTTTATAGTTCAACGTAATATGACCTTTATTGTCATCAAGTTACATTGATAATCACGTTAAATACCGTGAATCGGCAGTAAGTACATACGTCAAGCCCACGATCACATAAGAGCGGAGGTAGACGTAACACGTAATACTTATCCGGTGTAATAGTGAGTCATAGTTAGCAAACACGCGAATATTGCTTCGAATCAATGTCAAGATCGAACTAATGATATATCACCTTGAAGTTTTTAGCAACTTCGTTATAAGAATATGTTAATTACTCTGTTCACAAATCTCTTGAACCCACTTTAATACGATATGGTTATCTCTTTCTATTCTTAAGAGAAAAGAGGGATGGCTACAGCTTTAGCGGTTCCGAAATTAGTCAGAATTAATATTTCCAAGTTTAGATGTGATCACGAAACGTGTTGACTATAAACACATAATACAGCGAAACGATTAACTTGAGACTTATTTTAATGTAACGACGTTTTAATTTGAAAAGAGAATTCAGAAAAAAACGACTCTTTTGTTTTCTTAAAAAGAGTGAAGTATAAAGGAAGAATTACCTTTTTTGAAACTGGAACCATCTACGTTAATGAAAAAACAATAGAATACTTTACAGTAACATTAAACTAAATGTAAGTAAAGTTTGCAATTCATTTCAACTCAATACCCTTCTTCACCTCTATACAAGTTACAATGTTTTTCCTCTCAGAGTTTAAATTACACACGTATAAAGTTGGATACGGTTTTACTTATAGCATTCACAATCTGTGGTTAGCGGTGAGCCTGACAGTTAGATCACTCACCACTAGCACTGATATGCTGTAAATGTGAGCTTCTAATACCTTCCTCATAGTTGGCATCTAACTTCGACATAGGTATCATGGATGGTAAGAACATCAAGTCTCAGCTTGTAATAAATTGGTCTTGTTTATTAGTAGAAAATAATATGTAGAACAAATATTGTCATCGACGTCTCAGTATCCCACCTTACTTCTATAAGACACTTTTGTAACTTAGTCTATTTGCATTTGTTTTTATTGTACGTTTTAACAATAGTACTTTTTTTCTAAACATGAAATCTAACTAGAATCATTTATCGCCCCCGAAATCCCTTAAAAACAAAATTTCAAGAAAATCGTTGAAGCCGTTGATCCATATATATATACAAGAATTGCATATTTAAAGGTATTAGATCAGATACAAATTCGGTATATGTGTACGTAAAATGCTATGCAATGCAAATGCAATGTAAAACGCTACACATTTTCTTTCAGTCCAGTTTCAAACCCTGTTACTTTTTAAAATAGGAGGAATTACGACCACTACTCATTCTCTTGTTTCAGAAACAAACTTGGCGCCGAAGTGAGAGAAAGGGGATCAATCACATTATTGCAATCCATTAGCTCAACTAACTAGTTTTGCTTGTAACTTCGTGAAACTTCCAATCAGTCATAGGTACCCTAAATATAGCGAGAAAACAGGACAAATGTAAATTAAAATCTTCAAAATGTTCATCATTTCCATTTTCAGTCATTTACGTGTATCTATATGTATAACCTATAAATAAAAGTTGTTGTGTGCAGTTAGGTATTTTAAAATCAAACGGTATGAGTAACTTTTTAGCGCTGAAATGATAAGGAAAACCTACCATATATGCGTAAATAAGCGCAATAATCATATGTAAAATAGAAATTACCTACAAAATACCGAAGCAAATAACATGTTTTATACAACAATGAATATTAAATTTGGAATACATGACGTAAATAAATAGATATTTTAGTACAATTTAACGGGAGAATTTATGCGTTAATTTCATTTACCTGTTTATTAATTTTATCAATTTGACATTCGGTTCGAAGTAGGTCATAAACACACAAACCTACAATATATTTAATAAAAAATACACATAATTATGTAAAAACTTCTTTCAAAATGTCTTCCTTATATGCGTAAGGCTACTACGGACATATATGTATAACCGAACTACTTATACGTTTTCCATAAAAAAGGCTCGTTTAATTTACATAATAACAGATTGTACGCTTATGTAATACTACATAAATGGACCGGTTGATACATACAGGTTGTAATGAAGGATTCGAGTTAAAAAATTACACTCATCACTTAGTAGCCTTAGTTAGTTCGCTCACTGGTTTTACAAGATTGTTTATTAATTAAGTTGAAGCTTCGATAATTTATTACTAGTGAGTTGTACTGCTTAGAATGAGGTCCAAATTTGTGATCAGATTTCTTTTAATTAGTGACTTATTAACATATTTACATATATGAAAGAGTATGAATATGAACCTCTAGGTTGGCTTGAAACTAGTCGAGTCCCTCGCCAACTAATTACGGAAGTATGCCAGAAAAACATAAAAACTAATTTAGATGAAAGAAATCTGAAATTGGACATGGTATACAAACACTTTAAGTGTGGGAGAGCCATGCTTCGGCACGAATGGGCAGGCTCGACCAGAGGTATAACACGACCTCATAGAAAACCGACGTGAAACCACGCTTGCGTTGTGTTTCGTCGTGTACAAGAGGCCTAATAACACGCCCCCTCCCCCCGTTCAACAATGTCCCCAATCCCTGAATCCCCAACAATCAAAAGGCACTTGTAACTCCTCTGGCATTACGGGTGTCCATGGGTGACGCCGATTGCTTACCATCAGGTGATCCATCTACTCGTTTACCGGCTTATACCATAAAAAAGACTAGGCTATTGGTACAATGAAAGGACTACTATGAATCCAGATCAGTCAGTACATGGTCTTATTTGCCACTTTCCACACCTATAATTTTAAGGGATCAATCGTCATGTTACAAATATGTTAAGTGTACACCTTGTTGAAGAGTCACTTTGTCACATCCTAAGATAACCATAATACATCGCCTAAGGCCTTGTAGCTTAGATACCTAAAGCACAAGTAAATGTAGTGCGTTATACATAAGCTGAGATATACTAGGGCCAGTAATAACATGTGATTCTGCAACCGACGTCAATGTCGACAATGTTAACCTAGTCTTGTTGGATATAATTAATAATGCTTAATGTATGACGACATTGATGTAGTATGTTCAAAACTAACTTTCTAGTTATCGCTTCCCCTGTGTTGAGGTAATCAAAGCCTGAGAGTAAATCAATACGGATCTACATTTTTACACAATCTACAGAAGATTTTAGTTGAAAGCAGATTAAGAAAAATAAAGTGTTAAGTTCTCGTTGGCCGAGTGGTCGCAAGTGCGACTGTCGGGCAAGGGGTCTCAGATTCGATTCTTGGATCGGGCAAAGTACTACTGAGTTTTTAAAAAATTGACAGTAGGAGCACGGAGTCTGGAATTGTTGCTGATATATGACAATAGGCTGACCTCCTATTACATGGGACTCATAACATAAATAGTGAAAAGTGGGTGTGAGCAGTGGCATAATGTGCACCTCTGCCTACCCCTTCGAGGATAAAAGGCGTTATGTTATGTTAAGTATTAAGATGCCAAAAGAATAAACATTATTATATTAGCATGGATTAACTATTATAACTGTGTTGACATAACATCCAAGTTCTAGGTTTCACTAAAGAATTTTAAAGATCTCAAAGATCACAGAAACTTCTAAACAAAATTCCGAATTTACAAAATTTCTAACTCTATAAGCATAACACGTCAATGTTTAAGACAGATTAAAAATAAATACAAAATAGAAACGCACACATCCGGCTAGTGTAAAGGCAACTCACAGAATTAAAATAAAAGAAACGGACCAGGATGATTTGTTTATCAATCTAAATACCTAAATAGAACACAAAATAACGCACCTCAAGAAACATAAACTGTAAAACTTTATCAAAACATTTTCACCTCTGTCACAAAACGAATAAAGTTGAAAATCGATTAACGAAAGATAGTTTAGGCCAACTTCAGATGCTGCCGTCCATATAACAAATCTCCCGAGGAAAGCAAAGCATCACCCCATATACAACGACTGTAGAAACATAAACTCCGGTGATTATTAATCTGACAGTTCATAAAAACAGTCGACTGTTACTGAATTTGGGTGTTAACTGTCAACATAACATAATATTACGACTTCTTCTCTGAAAGGGTTAAATAAAAGTGTTTTAACTAAGTTTTTACGTAAAGTTACGCCTCCTATTCCCCGAGGGGACAGATAGAGGACAAAATTATAGATGGGTTAATTTTCCACCAGTATTTTTTTTTTGTTATAAAACTTAACTGATTGTCATATCATAATCCAGGCATAATTCTACAATAATGTACTTACTTCCTACCTACAACACAGTATGGATTACAATTTAAAGACCCGTAATAGTACCTAAATAATTATTTGAAGTGTCTTACATTACAGGGAATTTCTAAATAAGTATGATAAATCAATAACACTTATCGATCCGGTAGGTAATTGAACACAACTTATTATTCAATACAAGCGGTCGATATCGTGGTCAGTAGATCAACAGGACAGTGGTTAGTTCACTAGCTGTCACTACGAGTTAAACCATTCAAAAGTAAGTAACACATGTAATCCGAGTCAACATAAAAAAAAAATTATGTGAACAGCAAGTTTCATTTGTTTTTTAGTCGACCATTGCATACATGTATGTACTCATTACCAACATGTTTATCAAAACTAAATCATATTTGACTCGTGGTACGGTAGGCTTTTCAGTGATCTGGTTTAAAATCTGTTAATTAATAAATTCTCCGATCTTTATATGTCAGATCCCCTTAGCGGGTCACTGAGCGCATTAGGAACGGACCAGTTACCAGACCTTTTTGCAGTGGCCATGGGAAATATAAGTACATATTACATAGCCTTTATTTTGAGAAAAACTTTGATATAAATCTTAGGCAGTGAAAGAAGAAAATATTTTCTCATAAAAGTCACATTGTTCCCACAAGTCTCAATAAAATCTTAAGCATTCAATTCATGGTCCGAACAAAATGTTCAATGCTCACGTATTCAACAAATCTCAAGTAACTAACGATACTAAGTAATACGTTTATAGACACAAGTCCAATATTAGTCTAGGCTTTCAAACAAAAACATATGTGGTCTTTTATATACTCTACACAGGATTCAAATGAAACCGCAATAAAAACCTGCTAAGCACAAATCAATAAAACAAAAAGAAGCTACAAAACTGCATTCACATTTTATAACCAGAATTAAACGCAAAATAATTATAATAGACTTCAAATGTCAACGTGTTCAGTACTAAAATGTCATACGTTTGCGTTAAATTAACATATTATTGATACCTCGCATTCACATCAACAGTTATAACCTGCATTCATTACTTTCGATAATACTAACCATTAACCAGTGAGCTGTTAATTACCGAAATAAATTAAAGTAATACATTGGGTCATTAGCATTCAAAACATCTGTTGGTACACAAACACATGTAAATCGCGAAATACATAGTATCAGACTGTCCAGAAAGTAGGGTAAGGACTTAACTCGTCGAGTACCGGTTTTATAGACACAATTAAAGAACAACGGGTCGCGGTCACCGGTGACCGCTTGGTATTTGACAGTTTAATATATGTATATTTTTACTCGAATATAAAACTAACGAAGAAGTTTAAAGGTAAGATAAGGCTTAGATTTTGTCTAATTCTAATTCTACATATTAATACATACATACCATTTTCATCTTGTGTTGTTTCGAAATCTGCTAAGGATATGTTGGTCAAGTCCTCAACATATACTTGTGGATGATTTCGACTCAACGAGTGCCTCCCTCCAAGGGAGTGGTAGCAACTTTCCTCTTCATCTGCGGCCTCCTCAGTTGAGGAACCCTTCAAACATGAGTGAAAACTCCGGGAGAGGCGCCTCTCTGTACTCATCGTCACTCATGTCCCGAACACCACACTGATTTTGAACTTCCTCACGTATAAAATACACAACAACGTGTTATACTTCATTCACTGGTTTTTGCACTTTTCTTAACACATTTAACCTTCCACTGATTAATTGGTTTCGTTTGTTACGTCACTGTATCGTCAGGTATCTCGCGATTGGTCGGTCAGCGTTGAACGTTCCGTGTAAACTGCACACCTTTTTAGATAACACTGTTTATTTCACATTGTCGTTTTTCTTATCATTCGTTATCGAAGGACTCTGTAATCGTAAGGATACATTGATCTACTGAACGAATGCTCTACATGCAAATAAACAGCAGTTTTAAATTTTTAGTTTATGAATGATTTATAATCATTTTCGTATACTGTGGATGTTTTCCAAAACTACGATTATCTATACCATGGTAAGCAACCAAATTGTCGATAACTCACAAAAAAATATTAAATTCGTCACTGATATTGTAATGAACTAGGTAAACAAATATTACGAATCATTTCACGATTATTATCTAAGCACAAATTGTCACATTTCGCGGTGTTTACATCACAAGCACGACTGTCACGGATAGACAAGCCTACAATCCAAGTTCACGGTATTACTAAAGGATTGGATATGCGGTACTTCCACAGTTCTCACCAGTACTGAACATTCCCCCACTTTATTTCCAGAATGCATAATAATCATCACTTCAAAGAAATATGAATAAAGATAAAGAATAACGCATTTAAAGCGAAATGGAACCCCTTATCTCGGTTTGTTGAATCTCGACTCGACACTGTAACTGATTGCAACATCGAAACGTACCAAAACGCGCTTCGACCCGTAAAACACGTTACACGCGGACACGCAGGAAACATGACAGTTCAACGCACTCCCAAAGAATGGAGACCATACCACATTCGGCTAATGAATGGCAGACGAACAAAGGAGCACATCTTTGTGACGATGGCGCCGTGGACCTATTCACGTAATCCTGCGACTGACGACTCGTCTGATGTTTCAGTTTTTAGTGTCGTAACTTTTAGTACGGCCGCCTCGTCGTCGTTAACTAAAAATACAATACACCCTTTTTGTTCAACACACCACCCGCAAAAAACCGAAGCGACGCAATCCGATTTCCGCAACACTCGTAGCCCTGACCATTGCTTAAATAATGACGGAACCAATTGTCGAATTATCGAATTATTACAAACTTGAAAATTCTAAACGTTTAATTAAACGACATTAAAATTTACGAAACAACGAAGCTGTAGGTAATGTAAACATAACCGATTACAATTTCTTTATTACGTTTATTGCAATTTCATTCAAAATTTCCAAATAACCGTATTTGACCGAGTTACTTAGTTACAAAATGTAACTGTTCATACAACAATCGTATAACCCGGAATCATTGGTGTAATGTAATTAGCATTGAACGCACAATAGCAGAATATAAGCTCTGTCATGCAACTTGTACAGCATATAGGAACTGAATGTCAAATAATATTCCGCAGCAGGATTACGTTTACGCAAGAATCCGGACGTGATTGTGAAAAATAAAAAAATAATGTACATGACATAAAATGCATGAACGCATTGCAGTAGACGTGTGGGAGCTGGAGGTCTTTACGTAACAATTAGTGAAACAAAATGTAAAATGAAACCTGAATCGAGGAAGAGACTGTTACGACTGATTTTAATTAACACCGGATTGCGGCAAGTTGATGCGTTGACAAAAACAGTGAAATCTTCAACGACCTATTGTCTCTGTGGAAAGTTCTGCGTGGGAGCTGTTGACGACTTGAATCGAATTGTCGGCGAGAAAATTGCGGAATTAAGCACTGAACTTTCATGAGTATTTATTTGATGAAGAAACAATTGACGTTCCCCTGCTTTCACACTTATTTGGCACATTACATAAACACGATTCCTTGCAAACAACAGCACGTGGCTATTTATGCCGATCTGCTCTCGCCGAAGAACCCACTGTTGTCGAAGAAACAATGCTACCAATTTACCATTGTTCCGAAGGCCGTTTCAAGGTGCCGGACCACCCGGAACGGCTCGATATAAGTTATTATTTAATAAGTACTTTTGTATTATATGTAAAGTTGTGGTTCAACTGAACCAAAACATCTTACTGACAGCATGTTTCAAAAACATACAATAATACGGATTATGTGCAAAATGTCTACTTAATCAACGACTATATGAACTGATAATGAGCTCTAAAATTGGCTCATTACAACCCAGTCTATTAAAAACAAAACCTCTAAAATTAGAAACCTATTCGGCATAGTGCAGTTAATCAAGCCTAGCGTAACCGTAACACAGAGTCGGTACAATAATGGAAACGCGCGTGAGGACGACGACTGGCACGAGCCAATATTTTCCGTACGAGACCGAGATTTTCCCAAGATAAAGTGCGCCAGGGCTCCGACCACTGGCCTCAGCATAGCGTGTGCCACCTAAATCATTTCCAGATTATCCACACGAAAACGGCGACCGGGTTAAATCATAATGCCAACACTAAAATTATATATTAAGTATGTCATAAACGAACAACCTTGCCACTCTCATAATCCAGATAAAGAAACCTTTGATTTGATATCTCGAGTGTTTTCGATGTTGACCTTTCTCCAAGATTTCCGCTCACTACAGACGCGATAAGAAATGTTAGACTTGATAGAGGACCGTATGATGCGTCGCGCCGTGAATAACACTACAAAATAGGATCGCATCAGCTAATCCTTTAAGTGAGGCCTGTTAAGTCTCCATTCTTATAGAGCTGGTTATAAATAGTGTCGGAGCAAATAAAATGCATCCGCTAGCGACAATCGTTGACATGTTAACTAATGATGGGTCAGGTATAAATCATGTTTATAATAGCGAGTCAACGCGAAGATGGTCGGAGGAAACGGTCGATTTGCGACGGATATGGCGATTGGAGCAAGTAGAGCGACATACGCGCGGTGAACTCGTGAACTGACTTATTAATCTCGCTCATTATGTCGGCCACACTACAATGCTGTCATTGTCCCACTCTGTGCTTGTCATCGTTGAATCTCAACATTTTTTACAATATTTGTTTTGTTTCGTCAGTATATGTACGGCTGTCGCCTTGTACGAGTGTTAGACATTATCTGTCTTCGGATAGCCTTAACATTAATCGAATAAAAACAAGTCCACGTTGTGTTTATTGTCTTAAGCCAGAAGTGCAGTGCTAGTGCAGAAGATGAAGGTTGGCTTATAGGGCACTCGGGGAGTTACTGACTGAAGATCACTATTTGACGTTGTCGTTTAATTAACATTCGCCTCTACAAATGATTCATAGCGAAACGTCTCGTATTTCATACAAAGTGAATTACGCACTAAACTATACTTGTTTACGGCAAAATCGTGCACAACCTTCTATTTCAGTCATAGCACCATAATATGTACCTTCACCACCTTTATAGTCGCATAGCTTCCAGACAACATAAGTTCTAAGTAACTACGAATAGCGAATACAAATATAAATGCTAATTAAATTGTTAAAGCAATAAATAACGATGCTGTTTAATCACATGAAGAACATCACCACGAAAATAGAATTTACCCAGAAATAAATGTACACGTCACTATAATGTCGACAAACTTGAAGCACAATACACAGTGGGATAGTACGCGGACTGGTTAGGTTATGGGCCTAATCCACATACACACGGAATCGCCCGACTTTCGTACCACAACGTAATTATAGAGTAGAACGGAACACCGCGTGACTGTCTCCATTGACAGATAGCAACACACTGAACTGAACTCAGCGGCGACTCAGCGAGGCGCGAAGACAAGCATGAGCTGCGCGCGCGCACGCTGTGCCCTCCGCCAACCGTTTATTTACTATTCACAGTTTAAAATTCGAACGTGCTCCAATAATCAACATAACACAGATGTTCTCAGGATTCCACAAGGTACAATAAGGGTCAAAGGTAGAAGTTTCCATATATCTACACTAGACAGAAATTGAATGAGAATTTACAATAAACAAGCACCATTGAGGAAATAAAATATTAAATGAAAGAGAAATTAAATAAATGCAAATAACATCAATAGATATATTTATGAAAACCGGATCAATTATATTGGTAGGTATATGGATGAAATCGAAAGTGAAAGTTAAGCGTCGCCACTCACAAAATCCGCTTGAAAAACCTGTTAAAAGTTTGGAACACTTTTACTGTTCGAGAAACAAAATGTCAGGTAACTAAGATGGGTAAGTGCTGGGGCAAGGACCTCTGAAGGGTGGGTTGCACCAACGCACTTGTGTAATTATTTTAAGCCCGCTAGACGAGGACGAGTAAACAGAGACGAACTGGAATGTGGGCCGCATATTTAAGGAGGGCTTCCATTCTGTCATAGCACTTAGAAATAATAAAATACAGTACAAATGTTTGTATAGCTTGAACATGAATTAAATGTAATACGACACTTAGTTTATCACATTTTCGTACGTAAACATTACTGGATATTCTGTCTACATGTGAACCTGTTCTTTTTCTAACCGAATCAAGTAGCATTCTTTCACTGTTTTGATGAGTGATTGCAATACAATATCAAACAGATAGCACCCACAACTAGGCTAACGCTGAGAAAAATAAACATTCTTGCTTCGTCTATGAGTGGGTGAAAACATTAGGTAATGTTGAATTGCATTCGAAATCTATATCCATATGGTTATAAATAACGATATTTATTTCTGAATCTGTAATGATAACTACGACTTAAACATGTTTTTTTCTAGTAAAGGTGTAACGAAATGAAACGTGTAATAAGGTGTTTTAAACTTTTAAAACGAATAAAGGATCGATGCACTTAAGTTAACGATGTTCATAATGAGAAACAATAATCCAATTTAGTGTAACACAAAGCAACCCCGAAGCAGGTGTTACGCCCACTGTGTTACGGACACGGTTCACCTTTAGCCCACATTCATTGGCCGAGTTACTACAAAGGATAAAAATTGTAACCCGGTCGAATGGTCACAATATGTAACCTTCAAACAAGATCTGATCCCAAGTTAGCCAAAGTGTGACTGGGTTGCCATTGTCCAAAATAAAAAGAATCTTATAAAATGGATAACTTATGGCAAGGGCATAGGCTCAGCCCTGTTTAATGGTTCATGGTGTAGAGTGTAATATGACAGTTTCGCACTCAATTTACGTAGTTGTTTGAGTCAGAATCTGTGAATCAGATGACTAAAATGGTCTACCGGGTATCTGTAGTATCTGTACATCATCAAGTTTAATAGCTGTAAAAAAAAATATACCTGTGATGTTATCTCAAATGGAAAAATGCACGTAGATGTGTTTATTTGTATATTATTTCTAGGTTTTAGCTCAATTGCTGTTTTACAATAGCTGACTCAATAACTACCAATATGACCATGCCAACATCCATTTTCATTTGTAACGAATTTTTGCAACGAGACATTTCAGGAAAACCACATTGGAGTTTCCCAAAGATTTCGTACTGATTAATACTGGGTGCACGTCTACTCATTTATAAACTGTACAAAGTTTTTATAATAGTTGCCCTTTGCTGGCACGCTTGATGTAATACATATTATTATGTTGACAATGATGCAAGCGCCTTACAACACCGAATTTACAAATATCTTATTCAAAACATCAACAATTTGTCAAGTAGTTACGCTGATTGAACAAGAGAGTTAGTTCCACTTTACCAAGGTAGTCTTCGGCTCATTGAGCAAACCAACAATTTAACCTTAACCATAATAAATCACAACAAATACAAATATCTTAATTAGATGTCGTGACAGGACGCAAAACCAAGTTTTCCCATTAATTTAGAGCACGCAAAGGGTAACTACAGTGCATTTATTTTCATACCTCGATTGGTACAAGTGTAAAAAGTAAAAAGCGAAAATTGTTCCCATGGTAACACTTGAAACTGAAGGTATGTCAGTAGCTCAAGACGACGGCCTTGAGTACAGAACAATGTTACGCTTACTGCCATACATCTTGTATCGTTGGTTCACGGACACGCGATATCTTGTCGTGCGACTTCGTACGAGATGCACTCGATAAAAATAAACGGTAACATTCATCATTGAGCTGTAAGCAGGTGCGAGCGGTTTCGAGAATTGGAATTCTCAGGGTGCGTAGGATAATTTACGCGATAGCAAAGTCTTTTGCGTTATTTTACGCATTATTAGGCATGAGCTCAAACGCCTGAGATACTTTACTCTACTCAAGAACTTGCGCCCAACAAAAACGACAAAATTAACTTCATCATGAGATAAAATATTTCAAATCTTAGTAGGTGCCTTTTAATAATGTATTCATGTACCAAAAAAAAATAAGTATAAAGCTCGAATCTGAATTCACAACGAAATAATATTATAATAATACCTACTAACTTGTTTAGTTTTCTTGTTCTTAAATCTGTTTACACTGACTCAAATATGGTCTTGTATCGAGTGTCGGTTCCATATTTGAGATAAGAATACAATTATCGAGCATCAACCGTTATCTGTTGCTAATCGTTACAATCACAAATCCTAATGGATGCTGAGACCAGCTTACTGATGCCGCGTAGGCGCATGCTTGGGCGGAGGTGGGCGGCTGAACTTGGCACGCCATCGAGTCTTGCGCAACAACATAAGCCCTTCTATATTCAATGACAACACAAAAAGGATCACAATTTGTCCACAATAGATGTAAACATCCATTTGTCGCATACAAAGCTATTATTAGATCGATGAATACACTTATTTAATTACGGAAGCTTATTTTCCGATCCAATACATACATAAGTGGCACTGACTGAGGCAGTTAATACATACATACGTAACATTAAACTGCATCGTAATAAAAAGTTAATAAAAACCTATCAATTCTTGCGTAATGTACTCGAAACAAGATGCACTCATTCCCAAATATTGAATATAAAAAACTAATTAGTTACATTAACGTAATTAAACGTTTAAGACTTTGATAAGTGGCTAACACGATACGAAATACGTGGCGCGTGACATCGAATCAATTATCAAATCAAACTGTTTAATAGAACACTGGATCAATGAAGAAGCCAGTGGCAAGGAAAGCGCAAAAAGTGGAATAAATAACAAACTTTCGTTGGAGAGAAGTGTGCCAATAGAATGCCGAAGGAGTGTGCGTGTGCGCAGACAAACCGCCAACGCAGCCGTGCAAATGTAGTGAATAACTGCATGCGTAAATATTTCAGCAAACGTAAGTGAAACTGACGCGTTCCAGGCGTAAAATGTAAATGAAAAGTGTAATTATATAAAGAAAACTAAAATCAGATTCACTGGAATTGTAATGAAACAATGGTGGATATATTCTGGAAACAAATCTGTTCGTTCTGAATTGGCGGAATAGAAGAGCAACAGACAAGAAAATGATGAACAAAAGCGATGAATATTAACGTATTGATGAATAAAAATCAAAATATAGCTTCGGTTTTTATATACGGTAGACGAGTCAATCAGGGTAGTGGGTAAAAAGAATGCAGCCGCCTTACAAATGCTCAATGGAAGATTAAGCACGCACGTTGAACGCCGACGACGCATTACCGTTGCAATACATACCCAGCCGACTACTGCATCTATGTGTTTAGTTGTTTACACTGACATACATAAAATAATGAGATCATCCTTATTACTAAGGGGAAAAATTTACATAAACATTTATAACTTTGATGTCTGAAAACGTTGTAGCGTTATGAATGTTGTTTTTTACAACTTATTTAAAAATAAATGTAAATTTTTCTTCATTTATTCTACATATAGCTGCCTGGTTATCAGTTAAAGAAGAGGATTAGACAAAGACCATCGAATACATTCATAGCCTAGCCATAGTAAGGAGGCGCGTCTGTCAATCTTCAATGAAATATATACTACGTACGATTGACATATTACATAGCTTTTGTTGCTTACATTCTTAGGGCATTGAGTTTAAGCGTATTGATTAGAAGTGAGCACCTTTATTAGTCAGTTGATATTGTTTTATTTAAGAAAGAACTGTGCACAATGATAACGTCCATACAATAAATGTCGCGAGCCAAACGTGACTACGTCACACAATATTTACATTGAAAAACCAAAACAAAACGAGCGATGATGATGACACACAATTCCTATTAGAAATATATCGCGGACCATTTCTACGTTGATAGCAACAAGCATTTCCGCATCCGGCTCGAGTAGAACAACGCATTTGGGTGAGATAAAAGCTTGTAAAGCCGGGAACATATTTAGGTGACGGCTTGCTCAGTAAACAGTGCACAGTGTCAGCAATAAACTGTTGTTTGGACGAACGCCAGTTGATCCCGATCGGCTCCCGGAATCGATGTAACTGTATCTGCCTTTGCAATGATATTGGAACATTCGTGTATCGCATCCCGCCTCTCAATTTAGACGGCCTTACGCTGGATAAATAGCTCAATGGTATAAACTTGACTGGAATGACGATTGCCACATAATGTTGAATTGGAACCGTGTCCATATGGACTATAACACTTCAATCGAGAATAACATCATCACACCTTTTTATCCTTGAACAAAGCAGTTTACAAAGAAGAAGTAGGTACAAATATCATTGATATCAGTTATATTGTTAGTTGTTTGTTTCACGACTGATTTCAAACCCAGTTCTTTAGCAAATCAAGAAGCTCAACTGGATGAGCGCTTGCTTGTGATCATCAGACCAACACTGCAGCCATCAACTTCAATTAAGAGAGTGTAACAAGACAAGACAAGGCGGATGTTCTCGTATCTAGTAATTAGAACGTTACTGACATAAAAACATCATGAATAGGATGTCTCACTTATCCTTATTTAAAATGACAATTGCTAAACAAGTCTTTGTAAATACAATAAAGAAAGGAGTTTGTATGCGTCGGAATGCAGTAGTTTCTCAACCTATAGAGTGAGAAAAAGTTTACATTTTGTCACTAAATAATAATTATAACAACAATTGAAAATAAAGAATGCGATTGAATCACACAAATCACGCCTAGTAGCAACATAATAAAACACTGTATAATGCATGAAGACTAAGAAATGCAATACAGATTTAATAAATGCGCTTATTGTAGACTTAAGCCTAATGAACACGAATAGAGTTAACGTTTGTAACACTCTCGCCATAATGTATGAACATTGTAGACTCGCATAATGTTCTATCAGGCTGCCTTCGCAGAACTGAACGAAGCTTACTTGCAGAGCAATGTACTAATGACCGAGGATACAGCGTGTTCGGAATTTTAATATAAACAAGCAATTATATTCTGCAAAACGTAAGCACTCGTTTATCAAGATTTCTGGCAGGAGAAGCTACGCAATTATGTTAGGATTAGTTTGGGCTTTAAACGAATCTGGTGTTACGCTGAATTAATCTGAAATGATATTATATCCTCTACTTATGAATTAGATTTCAGTAACAATATTTTTAGCTTGCACTGCATGAATCATAAAGGATGAAACCTCCATTCATAGCTGCGTCAGTTTGCAATGACGAGCATGCAGGGATCAGGTACAAAAGACAACATAGCTTGTATTTTCGAAAACACACGGCTATAAGCAGCATATAGCAATTACAACATACGGCTAGTTACAAGTTAATACCTCCTCATTGTACCTATTACAATAATCTTTTACCTCATCGTTAGTAGTTGTTTTCACCACAAACTACGAAACTAACAATCCAAATGCAATGAAACGTACAACGGTAGACGAAATATTTCCCTTAATTTACACGATTACATGACACGCCTATATTTGTCTGATGTGGGAAAATCAAACATGCGTCGAATGCAATCTTATCCAATTTTCTTGTATGTGTAGTTGTGTATAACTTCTAAGATTTACGTCTGGAATTTCAAATATGATCTACTGCAACTCGAGATTGCGTTGGCGCAGCATTATTTGTATTTATGGTTCTAAACACATCTCGGATGAAACCATTCTGTTTGTAGTGATGATTACTCCAGTTCGTGCCTGGCAATAGTAGTTAGTAATATTGGCTTACTTCAGTTGAATACCTTTATGACATCAATGAGATAATGTTACTAGGTTTTGCTTTTGCTACAAATATTACTGTAGATATTCTACAAAAGTATTAGGAAAATTGATCTGATAATTTTAATTGCTCTTAATGCTCATGTACCAATTTTTGACACTGCAAACTGATCTCAAACTGATACCACAGTCGCAGTAATTGCGAAGCTGTCATCGGTTTCACAGATTTCGGTAAGTCAAAGAATTTCACTGGAAGTGGCACACGGGTAAGTAGTCCGACAAGACCGACAACATGTTCACGCGGTCATAAAGTGCGACTCGAGTCCCGTAATTGACAGACCTTACTGAGGCACAAAAACACGCCGACAATGTACCAACGAAACCAGCTCCTCAAGCTACCCCGGTTTGTCAAACTCTTATAGATTCTAAGCCTTATCAGATAACAATAAAGTTGAAAATCTGTTAAAGACTTTTAAAGTACGGAGTAACTTAATGTGCTGGCCGTCCCACTCGTATGATTTCACCGCACTCACAATACACCCGCTAACTTAATAAAAGCAGAGATACTCTGTAGAACCTACACGTAATAAGCCTTAAGTGCATTCGAAATTTTCACAAAAATAAAAAGTGAAAGCTCTTGTATAACAAGACCAAAGTACGCTATAAAAACTCTGAAACAATACGAAATACATTGTATTTTATAATTTTATGTAAACTTATTTCCATGTTTCCCACGTAATTACAAGAATTACTCTCATTACGGAGCGTTCCCAAACAAGATTGAATTCGTGACTATCACTAAACGTGTCTATACAACATTTCTATAAGACATTGCACGTTTTGCTCCATTTCCTACTTGCACAATCCTTGTAAAATGTATTTTATGTAGTAAACTACCAAATATCAACATTTAAAAGGTTAATCGTGATAGAAGGCAACAATAGTCTACGTTAAAATGGTAACATTGTACTTTTTGTAACAATGACCATAATCGCGGCTACTGAATGTTAAGTGTCCGATTTAAGACTCAAAGTTTATAAGAACTAGACTCAGTTTTAAATACCCAGTGTAAAGTATACAAATAGTGTTGATAAATGCTCTACCTGTCCCTTTTACTCAAACCGGCGTGATATTGTTTACATTCGCTATAATACACCGCTGTAAAGACCTTTAGAAAACACGATAATTATATTATCTTAGTGGGTAGGTACTCAGTAGCAATTTAGTAGCAAATTGCTTGGGAAAGCGAATATAAAGTACTCGATACTTTCCCTCGGCCGAGATGATGTCATTAGACATTAGCACCAAGGGTACTATCAACATTTATCAACGGACTTCAGCGTATTCGACATGTTCCCGATTCAATACATTTTATTGTTCGTAAATCAAACGGCTACAGAAATAAAGAAACGACTTTCTAGTTATAAAATCTCAAACTGTTTTTGTTGAGCAATTTTGTAAAACGATAAAAAAGACTAGATTTACGTCGTTGAGTTTATGTAAAAGGAGATATCGTTAAGATACTATTGGAAAGAATTAAGAATTTTATTAATCCATCACAATAAATCACAGAAATAATCAGGCACATCTAGTGTCACTAAATTCCTTATGTCCATCCCGGGTTGACGTTCATGAGTGACACCATGAGCTCGGCGAGTGCGCGTCAATATCCGGCGAATACGCAGGTGCCGGAACTTCAGGGGAATGACCGCGATCCTATCTGACTGCTGACCACTTAAGTATACTGCACGCTGCGAAAATTTACAATATGTACCGTTCTACCGTTCGTTCGCCACACTTTTGTGAGAAAGATGGTCAAGATGCACTTCCTACAAGGCGAATGTAATTACGACCACCTTACCAGGATTTAAAAATGTTCATCTGACTCACATTTTGAGTTTATTATTGTCATCTTTATTATACGTATACATAGATACATACATACAATACCAATTGTTGCACAATGGGTCTTTTATCATCACTCTTGTGGACAAACTAATTTCTATCAAACTAATGTTATTGCATGGTTTCAAGAATTATACAATAGAGTGGTAAAACACCGGGAGCAATAACGGTAACTAAAAGTTGAATAATGTTACCTTGATCCAAGCAGTAATCTTTTATAATCTACACAATATATCCGGTGATTAAAACTGCCCCTTTATTTTGCGAATGTGATCAGAAGTAATTTCATTGGATGTGATTATACAGGCTCATATTACGAGCAGCAAAACATTTCATTAGACAAGCTAAGTGCAATGACATCTAATTTCCAAGTAGTGGCGGAGTCGAATCTGGATCGCCCTGACTTCATATTCATAAAAAGTTGTGTAATCTAGACATGTGTGCAAGATAGCTCTATGATAGTAGATACCGCTTATCGGCTTATTTAAATAGATACGTGATAGGGACCACCAAAATAACGATAAAACATTTAGATCGTAATAAAACCTCATACAACTTGACATTACAGCACACGCCCCTAAATCTAAAGAAAGCTTCTATCGTAATCAACATGAGTTATGTTTATTGGCCTTAAATGTTCCCCAAAAATCCAGGATTATCCCTCGAATGCGTGTTCTCACGGCATGTTATCGGCTTCTCGGGGAATTCGTTCAGTGACGATAAGCACGCACTTATCTGTCGCCGGGAACCACGGACCGCGATTTATAAGCTAGTGACATTAAGCTAAAGAACTCTCTTACAAAAACTACTCCCATGTTAAGTGCAGTACGCACACCTACCTACACTTTATTCCTTTCCTCAAATGAATGAATGCCAACCGCAGATTTAATCGTACACAAACATTGAGGAATCCATCCAACGGTGAAGTACGGAATTTTATTTGTAGGCCGGTTAAAGCATTTTTTGCCGAACAGCGGTCCCCAAAATAAATTTCTATTATGAAAACAGCGATTAAAATTCCATCGCAATGTACGGGGCCGAATCGGAATCTCTTTGCATTCAACATGGATGCACAGTGGGCGAAAGACGTGGCGCGATTGACAAAACAGGCTGTTCGACTATTATGAATCGTTTACCTGTATCGCGAAGACATATAACTTTATATTCTGTCAATGTTTGCAACCTCCTGCAACCGTATGACAACACACACATTTGCAGTAGGTATGTATGTAATTATATTGATTACACAAAAGGAGGTGTGCTTTATTAAGCAAGTGATGTATAATGAACTTTACGTCGAGGACTTTACTTACTGAACTTAACGTTTCAAAAGTTTCCTAATCAAGTGCAGCAATAATGGCGGACTTGAGAACAAAACCTCTTATCATTGTTTTTCGTAGAACAAAAAGTAAGAAGGTCTATTATTACAAGACAAGAGAAGGGAAGAGAACAATACGGAGCAGGTAGCGGGATACGGGCCCCCAAGACGTTGTTACGCCCGACCAACACACGACATGTGCAAGCGTGATTTTAGAACAGCCGGCGCGGCAGATGCTCTCATACTTTTTTGATTACCGTTCG